GTAAAAAGATGACAATCTGGTCAAGGAGGTGGAAGAGGAACTCCATTAGTTGTATTGATCTGAACCAACCACCAAGCAAAGTCGGCCTGTAGGTGGGGAGTCAGGGTAATAGGAGCATCTAAAAGATCCCAAATGAGGCTTCATTGGTTGATTAACACCCACTGAAGGTGATTCATGTGGGCACAACCAAGGGGAATGAGGGCTTCAAGAAAAGCCCACATCCCCAAAAGAGATGAGGTCTCTCGTACAGTAGGAGAGAGAGAAGCTGATATCCAATAAATGAATGGGAGAAGGATAGGCCTGACTGATGAGGGAATTGAAAAAACACACCCAGATGAATCAGATATTGTGTGCGTATGAGAAAAGACATCAGTCTGGCAGGTTATGAAAAAAACTGAGTATGAACAGCAGTTTGACCTGAGAAGAAGCCAAAATAAACAAGTTGTCCATGTAATGGTGGAAACAAAGGCCTCTGGCATGAAACAGTCAAGTGGACAACCTGACTACTTGGCAGAAGGAGCTGAGACCAGGCTAAATGATAGAGCCTGAAACTGATAAACACACCCCTGATGAACAAAATGGAGGAAATTCCAGGATGCCTGGGAGATGGGAATGTGTAGATAGGCATCAGACATGTCAATATTCATCATCCACAACCCAGGAGTGAAAACCAACTGAAGGGTTTAAGTAATACTCCATCATTAATTTTGGTAAAATGAGGAAATGGTTCTGGGGAAAATAAATCTATAACCAGTTGTCAATCCCCCATTTTTTTGGATACAATGAACAGACAGGAGTAAAACCCTGGCGGAGAAGGTTCCAAAAGTTCTATGGCATCTTTCCAAAGTAAGTCCTGAAATGCCGGCGAGAAACAGGATCTCTTGGTGGGAGAAGGGGAATGGAAGTGAAGGGCCAGACCCTCTTAAATAACCTGTAGGACCCATGAATCTGTTGTAAATGGTGTCCAAATATGGTGGAAATGGAAATGTCTGGCTCCAAAGTGATTAACGAGTGCAAATGTGGAGAGGATGCTGGTTACGATAGGGGTTGTGATGCACTCCTATTGGTGGAGAGCTGCTGCATAATCATTTATATGTGGATATGCAGAAGCACGAAGTAGAAGGCTAGTGGCGAGTGCTTAAACTTTGCACTGATAGAGTGCTATTTTGTGAGATGAGGTAAAATATCGTATCAGAATCTAAACCTCTTGTCCTTTTAATTTGCTGTTATATATAAAAAAAAAATTTTCATCCACCATACTGTGATTTATTGTTTTAAACAGAAAGGTAATCTGCTCTCATGGTACACATTCAGGCAGTAAAACCATAAAAATGAAAGAAAACAGATGTCAAAAAGTTAAAAGTTGAAACTGTGAAAATACTGAAAATATCAAATCAATTATGATAAAAAAAAGAATAAAAAAGGTTATTCATTTTATTTTATATTTTTAAACTTTCCATTTCTCCGTACACTGATAATTTTGCTACAGTTGGTGTTAATGCAGAGAAAATAAGAGATAATATATGAATTTTACCAAAAAATGTTGATATTTATTTAGAATATTTTAGATGTTATGCAAATGAAATATGAAAACTATACAATGAAAATAAATATTTTTATTCTTAACATGAAGATAACCTTTCAAAGTGACTCAGTAAAGGCTTCATGTATTCACAGAAAATATTTAGAAAAATACTTTATCAAAAAATCTTGTGCAAAAAAGCTTGTAATGTTTACTCAATGTTTGAAAATTTTGTAAAAACACACTTAATAAATTCAGAGTTCTAATACATATATAGCTTCAACATTTTGGGTGTTGGTACAATGGTTTGATTAGTAATTAAAGAGTTAACATATATTAAGTTCCAAATGTTTCTATAATTCAGAGTATACATATCAAATTCCTGTATGTATGTGTGTAATTTAACTGATATTAATCCAGTTCCATGTAAGTAGGATTTGGTTTGTACATGTCAAGTTCCATCTGTTCATATAATTCAGATTATACATATCACATTTTAAATGTGTAGAATTCAGTCTAAATGGTGAAAGTTCCACATCTATGTACGACTCAGTGAGTGTGTTGAAAATTTCATATTTGTGTATAGTACAATCTTTAATTATAAAATTCTGCTTTGTTTGATTCAACCTATATATGTTTATGAATAGTTCTATACATATCTGTAAAAAGCTCAATAAGTGAATAACTATATATAATTGTATAATGTTCCACATGTGTGCATACATCAGTTTCTATGAATCAAGTTTCATGTGTATGGTTCTACCCATAAATATTAAATTTTTAGATTGTATATAATTCATCCACATTTATCAATTGTGACAAGAAACAATGGTTCTTGTTAAGTATCAAAACAATAAAAAGCTCAGAAATGCAGTTTAAAAATATACCAGCTTTCATCATCTCAGCAAGGTCAGTAGTAAACAATACGACTTTCTGTTTAGAAGTCGGTCTTGTGTAAGTTTTAGTTGTAAATAACTGTATGAGAAAGCTCATCTTGAATGCTCTCTTTTAGTACACTATAAAACCTTTAACTGTGGGTTTATTCCTTTTTTACAAACTCAAATCCTTTCTCCTGGACCTTTGTTTCCTCATCATTCAAAATAACTTATCCTGACCCAAACTTTTAAAATCTAAAATGTTTTAACTTATCAAATAGAGGTTAAAATTAAGGTGAAAAAGTCATCAGGCTCTAAATTATGGGTAGTTAAAACTATTTGCCAACTCTAAAATTAAGCATACGGTATGTCATAAATTGCTTCCTTTAAAAGCAGTGAGCTTGCACAACTAATTTTAATCTCAGAATAAACCTTGATTAAATCTTTACAACTTTGTTGTCATTTATGCTGGGATGTAACTATTTTTGCAAGGTATCATGGCAGTAATATCATGTTTGGTATTGATATTTAATGTATGTACTTAGTTTGGATTAAAAATGCCGCTGAATCAAAACAACAAAAAGCATGACATTTTAGGGAATACAAGAGGTCCATTAGTCCATTTAGGCCATCCCATCTACTTCAAAAGAACACAAGAACTCAAATTCAGCTCTGATAAATTAAGTATTTATTGAGATTTCCCTTAAGCTCTAGTAACTTTACTCCACCCACTACAACTGAAGGCAACTCATTACAATGGCCAACCACTTTGGTAGAAAAGTAAAACTGTAACTCAAGAGACTCCTACCCTGCTAAAATGCATACTTGTGTCTCCTTGTACCATTATTTTCACCATTACAAACAAACAAATAAAAATGATGATACATCATTACAATCAATCTCTTCTCTTTTCAACAAGAGAAAACAATTTCAACGATCTTAACCTGTCCTTCCCAGGTATCATTCTAGTAGCCCTTCTTTGAACCCTTTCCAACAATTCAATATCCTTCTTAAGGTAAGGATCCCAAGACTGAACAAGATACTCCAAACGAGGCCTAACCTATAAACTGAAATAATAACCTATTTACTTGTATTAAATTTTTTATGTAAATACAATCCAAAATCCTATTTATCCTACCACTAGAAACAGCACACTACTTGGTTGGCTTACGAGACTGATCAAACAAAACATTGTTAAGGTTATTCCTATCAAAATTATAATTTGAATTATAATAACCAACATGCATTATCTTGCATTTATTATAATTAAATGTCATATATCAGTTATTTGCTCAACTCACCAACTGATCTGAATCCTTTTGTAAGTTTGTATTTGTATAGCCACTACTAAGGCTATCTGCCACCACCCATAATCTTGAAATACTAACCAGAGGGAAGGCAGACACTCAGCAGCACCTTACCACTAATGTCAAAGAACTGACTATCACTCTTATAATGTCCCCACAGCTTAAAGTGCAGGGAATATTTTGTGGTATTGCACGTGTTTGAACATGGGTTGCCAGCTTAAAATCCAAAGCTCTAGCACAGCATTAACCCACACCCCTTTGTAAAGAGTAGCACTCTTCTCACAGTAGCAAACCCAAAGACTTTAATTTCATCAGCAAATTTAAGCATTTTATTGACCATTCCTTTATCTATGTCCTTGATATAAATCAAAAAGAGCAAAGTTCCCAATACTGAGGTACCTCACTTGTGACATTAATCCAGTTTGATTAAACTAAATGCTTTCTTCCACCTAGCCATTCTTTGATCCAATGAGCCAACTTAATCCACACACCTAAAGAGATAATTTTGTTTAACAAGCCTTTTGTGTGTCACATTGTCAAATGTCTTCTGAAAATCCAGATATACTAAATCCACACCTTTATTCTCATCAAAGAACACGTATTTATCAATTCTCCATGCTTACATGAAAATACAAGTAGTGTTTTAATGCTGAAAAAACAAAACAAATTCATAATTAAACTGAAATTAAACCAAATTATTGTTTTGTTAAATCTTGGTTATTATTTTCTTGTAACATGTAATATATAATGAAATTTTTATCCTTGCTTCGTTTAAAATGCTCTATCTTGATGATCCAGGTTAAGTAGTTAGTACACAGGATCACCTACAAAAGTAGTAATAATTTCAAAACAAGACCCAAAACTCGAGCGCTTTCAAATAGTTGACTACTCTTCTTCTGAAGAATAATAGTCAACTATTTGAAAGAGACAGAGTTTTGGGTCTCGTTTTGAAAAAACTACCTTGATGATGTTAAGCAGCATAGTTGCTAAAAAGTTGATAGATAAATATTATTTAAATGTTTGAATATCCCTGAGGAAATGTGCAATACACAATCAATGAACTTTAAGAAACATATTTTAAATGTTTATAACTCTTTAGCAAAAATTCTACTTTTTGGCTTACATCAACATATGGGGGGGCTTTACTGTTCTTAAAAATGGAATAAGTTTTCATCTACAGGATTCAAAGCCTATCACCAACCTTTAAGAATTCCCACATACACTAATAGTATAAAAGAACATAAGATTAATAAGGAGCAGAGTCCTAAAAAGTTTTACTTTCACACTAATACATACCTCATGATCAATATGTTTTAATAAAGCCTCAAGCTCTTTATCTCTTACATTTGACACATCCAGTTGGTTAATTTGTAACTTCAGTGGAGAATGTGAGCTCTTACTAATGCTCAGTGCCTTACAAAGTAGGTTACATGTTTCTGATCCTCTAACAACAGCATCAATAGAAAGAATAACTGAAAAATATACATTTACAAAAAAATTAACATTTACCACAGTTGTGGATTTTATAAACATGCAGGCTAGACAATGATCTTTATTACACGGATAACAACCGTTCTTTTATACTTTGTAAAATGATGTGTACTTAAATTATTGTAATATGTATGATTTGTGAAATAATAATGAATTGTAAAATGGTTGTGTTGAAAATTTAAAAGTACTTTTAAAATGTATAAGTTCTGTGTCTTATACAGGTTTAGAAATTGGAAATGCATGAATATTTTTAAGGAATTTTATTTTAATGTGATATTCATGATGTTAGGAAAACACATAAATCAAGAAACCAATTTAACACAAAAATATGATACCATATAAACCCAAGTGCTTTCAAAATGTAGACCTTTCGTCTTCAGGATTAAATTGGGAAGGTGGGTAACAAAAGAGGTCTTTTTTTTATGTTAATATATGATTTATGGTCGTTGAAGTGCTCTCTAAGAGTCATTTGAGTCTGTTCTATATACTGGTGATTACACTTTTTACACTGTTTAAAATAAATGGTATTTTGTGTCATGCAGATTATTTCTTTATAAATTTTAAAGTGTTTATGGTCATATTTGTTGAAGAAAGAGTAATAGTGTGATGCATGTCTCCCAGGTGTTGTGCCTTAGTACATGTTTAATTCCTTTATTTTTGTAACTAATGGTACTCAATATGCCCTTTACACATTGCATTATACAAATCTTATGTGTTACATGATAAACACTATTGATAACCTTTGTACAAAAACACCATATTAGTCTTTAATGTGTTTTGTGACAGGAATAGTCAGTACTGCTCTTTAAACATTTTGCTATGTTAGTCTACTCTGTTTTTGTAACTAGTATTACTTGGTAATGCTGTTAATGCATTGTACCATGGAACTGTATCAAACATTACTTAATTATCTTCAGGTTCTATGCTACATTAGTTTCCTATGCTTTTGTGTTAAAGTTTACTTACAAATGCATGGAACTGTATCAAACATTACTTAATTATCTTCAGGTTCTATGCTACATTAGTTTCCTATGCTTTTGT